GGAGTCTCACTCTGTCCCCCAGACTGGAGTGCAGTGGCCACTCCCGGCCACTGCAGTCTCAACCCGCTGCGCTCTGGCGATCCTTCGGCCTCAGCCTTCTGAGTAGCTGGAACTACAGGCATGCGCTACCGATGCCTGGCTCATTTTTGATTTATTGTAGAGATGAGGTCTCATCAAGTTGCCCAGGCGGGTCTCAGACCTGTGGACTCAGGCAATCCACTCACCTCAGCCTCCCAAAGGCACGGGATTACAGGCTGAGCCACCGAGCCCTGCTTCACTGCAGTTTTGATTTGCATTTCTCTGAGGATTAGTGAGGCTGAACATTTTTTCATGTGTTTGTTGGCTGCTTGTATGTCATTCTTTGAGAAGTGACTGTTAATGTCCTTTGCCCACTTTTGTTTTGATTTGAGTCAGAGTCTCACTCTGTTGCCCAGGCTTGAGTGCAGTGGCATGATCATGGATACCACAGACTCGACTTACTGGACTCAGGTGATCCTTCTGACTCAGCCTTCTAAGTAGCTGGGACTACAGGTGTGCGTCATTTCACATCTGGCTAATTTTTTGATTTATTGTAAAGATGTAGTCTTACCATGTTGCCCAGTTATGCTCTTGCCTTAATTTTTTGAGTAGCTGAAACTATAACTGTACCGCTGTGTCCCAAAAATCTGTTTTGTACACTACTTTGCTGTTATGTATGTATGTATGTTATATATTTGAGTTGAGGTCTCACTCTCTCGCTTAGGCTGGAGTGCAGTAACAGAATCACTGCTTACCACAGCCTTGACCTTCTGGGCTAAGGCAATCCTTCTCACTCAGTCTCCCAAGTAGCTGGGTTACAGGCTTGCAACACCATGCCTGGCTAATTAAAAAAAATTTTTTTTTGTAGAGATGAGGTCTCACCATGTTGCCTAGGCTGGTCTTGAACTCCTGGGCTCAAGTAATCTTCCCACCTTGGCCTCCCAAAGTGCTGGGATTACAGATGTGAGCCTGGCCCCACTTTACTTTTACTTGAAGCTTTATAAAATATTAATTGTCATATTTCTGCTGGAAACATATGCATTTTCTATATACAAATTATACTGGCGATATGTCAGCAGAGATATATACTCACTTATGAATTAAGAAGTGACACACCAACAATTAGTTTCATAGAATTTTTGTCCGTATGTTTAATAATAAAGTTCTGTAACAGAAAATGCTTACATTGGCTTGATACTGTTCCAGAATCACATGACCTGGAAACTCTGGTTCTGGAATAGTTGCAAATCGCCGAATAACAACCAACAGTGTTTCGAGGCCAGAAAGACGGAGCTTGTTACTATGATCTGTGGCAGCCATAAAAGCCATACGAATTAAGTCAGCAAGATGCAGCACCAAGAAGTCATCTACAAGATTAAAAAACATGTTGGAAGGGAAGAGAAAAAAAAATTTTAAATATCAAGAAAAAAATGCTGAAACTAAGATTTATGTTTAGTAATAATTTTTTCCCCTTTAATTTCATAATCCAGTCTTTCTTTCATGTACCTCTGATTTTATTTTCTGTTTCATTTTGCTGACTGTTAAATACAGATTTTAAAGCTGGATTTAATGCACACTGCAAACACACACACACAAAACTGTCCTAAAGCAAATAATTATACACAGCTATTCAAAAACCAAAGGCAGAATTAGGCATCCTTTAAGAGTGCTAGTAGTATCCTCAATAAAAATTTTGTTCAGACTCTGATAAAAGTACACTAGTTGGAACTTAGGAGATTTTGGCCTTTGATAAATTAGGCGGTAATTTATTATCTCAATGTCAAGTTGAAGCCAAGAGACCGGAATGTTCCCTCAAAAGAAAGTTTTACGTGGCTCTTTATATGAACTAGAGTACCTTATTTTTGCATGTCTTGCCAAAAATACAAATGATGGCCAGGCGCAGTGGCTCATACCTATAATCCCAGCACTTTGGGAGGCCAAGGTGAGAGGACTGGCTGAGCCCAAGGGTTCAAAAACAGCCTGGGCAACTTAGTGAGACCTCATCTCTACAATAAATCAAAAAAGTAGTAGGGCGTGGTGACGCATGCCTGTAGTTCTAGCTACTTGGAAGGCTGAGGCGGAAGGATCATCTGGGCCCATCAGGTCACCATCTGTGGTGACCATGAGCGTGCCACTGCACTCCAGCCTGGGCAACAGAGTGAGATGCCAACTCAAAAAACAAAACAAAACAAAAGAAAAAACAAATGATGGAGGTATAAAAACATTTCTAGCTATAGAAATGATCAAGGAGAATTTCTTTCATTTCTACAAACTATTCTTTGATATAATAATTCTCCTTGGAAGAGATGTTAGGAAAATCATTTAACCATGTTCCAATAATAAAATGTTTAGGGGTACAACTAGCCTATACCTAGATATATTTGAGGAGATTAGAGTTATAGCTCGTGCTAAAGAAACTGAAAGATCTTAGAGCCAACTACACTTTTAACTGGGAGCACAGAACATCTATGAATGAATGGTTATAACATCCTTATTTTATACCTATAAGTATCTAGCACACTGCTCATCACAAATAAGAGACTCAATAATAACAACAAATTCCAGCCGGGCACGGTGGCTCACACCTGTAATCCTAGCACTTTGGGAGATGGCGGCAAGAGGATTGCCTGAACCCATGAGTTCAAGACCAGCCTGGGCAACTTAGTGAATCCTTGTCTCTACAATAAATCAAAAAATTAGCCGGGTGTAGTTGTACATGCCTGTAGTTCCAGCTACTTGAAAAGCTGAGGGGCAAGTATCACCTGAGCCCAGCAAGTCGAGGCTGTGGTGGCTGTGAGCATGCCACCATACTCTAGCCTGGGCAACAGAGTGAGACTCCAACTCAAAAAAAAAAAATCATTAAACTAATAGCAGCATTTTGCTTTATAATTCTTTTGCCTGGTAAAGAAATATGCATTGTGTCTTTGAACATATGTCGTTAAGTATATTTGAAAAAGTTCACATTGGCTGGGAACAGAGGTGCATGCCTATAATCCCAACACTTACAGAGATAGAGGTGGGAGGATCGCTTGAGCCCAGGAGTTTGACACTAGCCTGAGCAACATAGGGAGACTCCTATCTCTACAAAAAAAAAGAGAAAAACTAGATATCGATCAAACTATACAAACATAAGTAGGTAAAAAGAATAAAACTGAACCATAAAAGGCCAAAATTGTCCCACAATCAGGTTTTTTACATTAAGATAGGCTCAAATGTTTTTTTTTTCCTTTTTGAGTTGGAGTGTCACTCTGTCACCCAGGTTGGAGTGTAGTGGCATGCTCACGGGCACTGCAGCCTTGACCTGCTGGGCCCAGGCAATTCTTCCACCTCAGACTTCCAAACAGTGGAACTATAAGCCTGAGCGCGTACCAGTACATCCAGCTAATTTTTCTTGATTTATTGTAGAGATGAGGTCTCACCAAGTTGCCCAGGCTGGTCAAAAACCCCTGGGTTCAGGCAATCCTCTCACCTCAGCCTCCCAGAGTGCTGTGATTATAGGCATGAGTCACTGCGCCCAGCACAGCTCAAATGTTTTCTAGGTAATATCCATGACATCAAAATAATCTATAAGCAAAAACTGGTATGTTATAAACCAGAAAAATAATTTTTGAGAACTAGCTAATATACATACTATTTCCCAAGAACTAATTATTCTCTATAAACGTAACTCACTGCACATGCCTATTAAAATGAATGCCAATTAGCTGGGCTCGGTGGCTCAGCCTGTAATCCCGCGCCTTTGGGAGGCTGAGGTGAGTGGATTGCCTGAGCCCGTGGGTTCGAGACCCGCCTGGGCAGCGAGACCTCATCTCTACAATAAATCAAAAATCAGCCGGGCGTGGTAGCGCATGCCTGTAATTCTGGCTACTTGGAAGGCTGAGGCGGAAGGATCGCCGGAGCCCGGTAGGTTGAGGCTGCGGTGGCCGGGAGCGGCCACTGCACTCCAGTCTGGGTGACAGAGTGAGACTCCAACTCAAAAAAAAAAAAAAGAAAAAATTGAATGCCAGTTTAAGAAGTTCAATCATTAAAAACGTGTTTAAGCATTAAAAGAGTACTAATGCCATAGCCTATATAAATACTGTAATCAAGTTTCCTAATTGATTTGGAAGAATACAACAACCTTTATTTTCATTTGAAAAACGAATATTAAGACCATAAGCAGACAGCATTTTTACATATTATCATTTGGTCTTTTCATTACTATGTCACTTACTTCTTGAATCCCTTTTTTTCATTTCTTGTGCTAAAGCAATGTCAAAATGTGCGATGTTCGCATTCTCACACTGGTTAATTATCCTACAGACACACTCGGCAGCAAAGACTCTAGTCGCCCACCGGGGGTTGGTAAAAGGATGGAATTTTTCATCATTTCTGGTTGTCAGGACTGAGGCATCATCCCCTTTATCTCCTTCTTCCTCTTGCATCGTATCCACACAAGCTACAGTTGTAAAATCTTTTGCCAAGGGAGAATACATGTCATCATAATCAGCTGAAAGATATATTTATATACTTATGACTTCAAATTTAGACTAGAATTACTGGTGACCAATTACACATTTAAAAAAATAGCATCAAGTAGTTAGATATAATAACCACAGATAGCCAGGCTTGGTGGCTCAGCCTGTAATCCCGCACCTTTGGGAGGCTGAGGTGAGTGGATTGCCTGAGCCCGTGGATTCGAGACCCGCCTGGGCAGCGAGACCTCATCTCTACAATAAATCAAAAAATCAGCCGGCCGTGGTAGTGCATGCCTGTAATTCCGGCTACTCGGAAGGCTGAGGCGGAAGGATCGCCGGAGCCCAGCAGGTCGAGGCTGCGGTGGCTGGGAGCGGCCACTGCACTCCAGTCTGGGCGACAGAGTAAGACACCAACTCAAAAAAAAAAATAAAAAAAGGGAATCAAGGCAAAGAGAGGAGAATATAACAAATTTCAGAAATTTTATGGTAACTTTTTTACTGTCACACAACTTAAGAGGTAAGAGCTACACTAAATTTTAAGGCTTGAGTAACTGAGTGGGGAGCTACTGCAACACAGTGGAAAGCTCATGGATTTTAAAGTTATACAAGCTAAGGGCTGAATCTACCTGTGTATGTCTTTGGACATAAGCTCTCCAACCCTGTTTTCTCTTCTATAAAATGGAATAATGCCACCTATTTATAGGATGGGTTAAAGGATTAAGTCACATAAATTATGTACAGTTCTTAGAAAAGAATTGGTTTCTAGCTTTTCTTTTCCTCATTTATTTTCTCTCCTACCCCAAGGATACAAATTTGTTTCTTTTTTTTTTTGAGTTGGAGTCTCACTCCATTGTCCAGGCTGGAGTGCAGTGGCAAAATCATGGCCACCACAGCTTTGACCTACTAGGGTCAGGTGATGCTTCTGCCTCAGCCTTTCAAGTAGCTGGAACTACACGCACGAGCCACCACACCTGGCTAATTTTTTGATTTATTGTAGAGATGAGGTCTTGCCAAGTTGCCCTGGATAGTCTCAAACCCCTGGTCTCAGGCAATCCTCTCACCTCGGCCTCCCAAAGTCCTGGGATTATAGGCTTGAGCCACTGCGCCTGGCCTAGGATACAAATTTCAAAGATTCAAATATATTTTCTCACTGACAACGATCTTGTACTAAAAAATATATTTGGGCAATAACACTATTTTCAATGCTATTTGAAATTAGTATTATTATGTATGAAGAAACTTGCTTGCTCAAAATGTTATCGTTTTGGTTAATTTTTTATTAATTTGAGGTAATCCCTCAAATATTTATTATAGGTATGACAAGAAATGATAAATTAAGTCACACCTTTTATAGCACAAGTAATCACTCTATTCTTTAGTTTGTTTTATATAGGAAAGTCATCTAAGACAATCAAAGGAGAAAAAAGTAAACTTAAGTGTTGGATTTGTATTGCTCAAGTTAAAGAGAATTCTAAACACTAGAAACTTCATTTGAAGAAAGCAACAGCCAGACAATCATCATCCAAATATTCAGACAAGACTGATTAATTCTCAGTGGTAAATAATTTTATATTAAATTTTAAAATATCAATTTTGTTCTTTTAATTGAGAATAATCAATACTTACCAGCTGATGCAGCAAGTACATCTTTACAAAGCTTTAACCAAAGGGAGAGTTTTTCCACTGCCATAGATGTGAGCATATGATTTAAAGTCTCTTTGATATCATGGCATAGTATATGATCTGTTTCTTTGTCTAGTAGGGTCAATAATGCCCCTTCAAGGCCAACTTCTCTGATGTTAACATCTGACAAGAAGAAAATCAATGATCTAAGCAATACAGAAAACAAAACTGCCATATGAGAAGCACACATATTCAGTTGTTATTAAAACAGTAGATACAAATAGAACTAGCTCAAATATTGTGCCTTAATCTCCTGAGGTTCATTTTAGTTCACAATTGAAGTCTGGAATAATTTATGATCTCATAAAGCTAAGTTTTATGTAGTGTTATTGAAAGAGAAGTCTTGGCTAGGCAAGGTGGCTCAAGCCTGTAATCCCAGTACTTTGGGAGGCGGAGGCAAGAGGATTACCTGAGCCCAGGGGTTCCAGACCAGCCTGGAAAACTTGGCAAGACCTTGTCTCTACAATAAATCAAAACAATTAGCTGGGCGTGGTGGCACATGCCTGTAGTTCCAGCTATGTGGAAGGCTGAGGCAGAAGGATCACCTGAGCACAGCAGGTCAAGACTGTGGTGGCCATGAGTGTGCCACTGCACTCTAGCCTAGGTGACAGAGCAAGACTCCAACTCAAAAAAAAAAA